CCCCAAAACCCCAAAACCCCAAAACCCCTTGCAACCAATCGAGATATCTACTAAAGTTCTTGAATAGTTTTAATGTTAAAAATTTTAATGATATAATCAAGAGTAGACATCAGCGTTATTAATTATGTCCCTTAACACTCTTTCATTATCATAGCCTGGAGGTATAATTTGATAATTACTGGCTAATATCATCAATTTTTAATGTTTACTCTAATAATAGGAACTTAAGAGCTTTTATACCTTAAAATCAAAATCTTTCATAGGATTCTAATGGAGATTTAAGAGCCTAAGTTTAAAATGCAGGTGACCAAAACTGCTTTCTTTGTCTAATACTCCCATTAATCTGGTAAAATCTTCAATTTCTATAAGGTTATCAGATAAGTTTATAGATAGTATATTTGAGCATCTATTCCTAACTAGATTAGTAAACATTTTAAAAACATTGCTAAGCTTATTCTTTGACAAATCAAGTACTTCTAAGTATTCATTGTAAAGGAGTAGTGTGCTTAGATTTTCATAGTCATAGACCTGCTCTCCAAGATTCATACTTTGAATTGAAAGCTTTTAAACTTATTTATTCTCCTTTAAAAAGTCAAACAAACTTATAAGACAAAGAGTTTTATTCTTTTCGAGAAGTTAAAGATTGTCTAAAGAAACAGATTTTAGCTTTGGAAGGAGATTTAATGCATCACAAAACTAATTAAATAGATTTTAGTTAGCGAATTCACAGTCAATTAGATAAATTTCTCTAAGATTTTAAATGGCGAAAATGCCATTAATCATAATGTTGAAAGTGCATGGGCCCTTCAGTGTAATATTCTCAAGGTTCATATGCTCGATTTGTTTTCGGTCCATGATGAACTGTTCAAATACAAATTAATTTTCTACTACAACTTTTAAAGTTTTGAAGTTCGGTGCGTAAGCTAATTCTTCCATATTTAGAAGTATCAATCTGCTCTATGGTTTAGTATTTAAAGTGAGTCTTTGATTTCTTTAGCTTTCCTTTGCAAAATCAATATACTATATTTATAATGAGTAATTACTGAGGTTAGGGAATGATTTCGGTACCACTGTAAATAATCTCTAAAAATCTTTCTCTTTAATATTCATTATACCCAATTGCAAAGCTGAAAGGTGACTAGAGCGGACTTATTCCAATTCATCTAAAAATGAATTTGGGTTTGTGAGTGGGAAAATATGTAATTCTTTCAGTTTTTAAATGTCAAAAAGATGCTTCAAGTTATCATTGAAAACAGATGCTCTGTAATAAAATAGATCTAATCCTATAGTATCTTCAACTTATTATAATTCTTAAACTAATTTTAATGCAGATCCTTCATACTCAACTGCAGATCTCTCCTTTACTTGGCATTTAAACAAAAGCTTAATTTTTCTTTGTTTAGATTTAAGTTATTATCGAAGATCATAGATTATACTCTAAATATCAATTATGCTATATTTTTCGTCATTAATATACAGTATTTGCAATGCGATAATTTAAAGATCTACAATCTTTAGAACAATTTCCAGAATATGGCTAACCTACTATGGATGAATTAATTCTTTAAAAGTTATTTATACTGTTTAAACATTTTGGCAAATATTTATCAATAGTTCTAGGTACTTAAACTAATACTGGCACAACCTTTCATGCTAATAGACTAATCTCAATTCCTTAATAGTATTGTCTAACACTGGTATTTTCTTTATCATCACAAACTTTGATACTAATTCTATTTCTTTAATCTTCAATTCTTGAAATGATAACTTTACTTCTTATACCTTTTAGGTTTCTTGCTATTTTAAAACTTCTTCCTCATCTTCATAGTCATAATAATCATCTTCAGATTCGTCCTCACCTTTTATGTGTTTAACTTCTTCTTTCTTTTAGTTATTAACAATAGCTTCTGGTTGATTCTCCAATTTTGATGGATCCCCCTGATAATATACAAGCATATCCAATTAAAGCTTTTTATGATTAACACGTGATAGTAAATCTATATCGTTAATTGATTCAGATATTTGATAAAATCCACTAAGTTTAAATAAAGGTACTCGTTTGAGGAATTCCTAATCTATGTAATTTAATGGCTGATTTTTCTAAGTAAAGTTCATGCCTTTCTGATCACACATTCTTTCTAATAAATCTCGGTTAGAAATGACAATTTTATGACTAGTTCAGCATAATTTCAAAAGCAACTCAAAAATCTGAAAGTCTTTGAAGACATAGCTGAATATGTCAAAGATGATAAACTTATTAATCCTCACTATTTTCTTTTTTCCAATTACTAAAGACATTTGAGAAAATACCAATATTTAATGACGATAAATCAAATTATAATTTTATAGATATTTATTTTATTGAATTTATCAAGATTTAATCTCATGGGGTTTTGGGGTTTTGGGG